TAACGCAACAAAGTTTCTTTCTGCGTCGCGCGCGTTCCGCCAACCGATCTCACAGTACTGACTGTATAAAAGTGTCAATTTTAAAACTTATAGGAAAATATGTATGTACATATCTGACCGCGTAAATCAATTCCGCGTAAAACAAATACTCGCGTAAGAAAGTGCCGCGTAAATTGAGGGACGGGTGTAATTGAATTCGGTGAAATATTTTATCGTGAGTGAAATACAATTTATTTTGAATATTTTGGGAAAGGAAAGGAAATAGTTATAATAAGAGACGAAAAATGTGGAATATGGTGAATAGTATTCTGTGTGAAGATTGGATGTATCTTTTCAATTGTCGATTGTAACGAATTAATGAGAGAAGAAATGAAATTAAGAGATACAGAGGGAGATATTATGTTTATTTTGGACGTCTTAGAACGAGTATATGTATACTGAATGCTGATTCAGAGAAGAAAGTTAATTTATAGCTTGAAGAGGTTTTTTCTCTTTTTTCTTAAGTTGAGTATAAATTTTATGATTCTTACGACAAAGTAAAACTTATTGAAACGATTAATTTTATTGTAGAATTTGCTCTTAATGCCCTCACTCTATGATTCACGTGACTGCATTAGTATGTACATTTTCGATTACTTTTAGTGTATTATCTTAACCTGATGATAAATTATTCGAAATTATGTCGATTAACTCTCTTAAGTCTCTTCAATATTCGAATTACTTTGCAAGTTTATCATCGATACAGGAAAATGAAGATTAAACGCTTTTTAAGTTAATTTTTTATTCATTATTCTCCAGGATTTATTAAACGTATCTTTTAAATTTTAAAAAACTTTTTTTTTTTTGAGGTAGTCGCAACGTTTCAATATGAGTTTCTTTAGATGAAACATGCAAAAATTTAGAAGAGAAAACGTCAGAAACTGAGAATTTTGCTCTCGTCTTCATAATATAGTTTTTAGACTGGAAATTCATTAAAAGGAGACAGACACGAGAGAAAAAGCAAAAGCTCGGCGAAAGAAAAATATAAGGGTCGCGGGAGGGGAGAAAGACGCGGAGAGACGGAGAAGGAACTGAATAAAAGTAGGAGAGAAAAAGAGAGGAAAATAGAAACGCGGGCAAAGTGAAACTTCAAAGTTTGAAAGAATCACGAGACAAAGGGAGAGAGGAATGCCTTTCGTTCGAAGTTAATTGTACAACGTTTAATTATTACTTGAACGATTCGACTACATTTCGAAATCAGCTTTTGTTATTGCGAATTTAATTCGTTATTAAAAGGAAAAAAAAAGAGATGAAAAAATATACATTTGATGACTTCAACGATATTGATTTTGTATTAGTAAAAATTCATTTATTTTCCAGGTATTGTACGTATAAATTTGTATCTATTTAATATCTTTATAAAGGAAATTTTAAAGTTCCACTGTATTTCGTATTCGTCCGAAGCTCAAATCTGAAATGAGACACTAATTTTAAGTGATAGTATAACAATTTTATGTGGAGTAAATCGAAGGAGAAATCTACAATTTGAGACGTGGAAATACGAGGAAAAATGTACAATTTGAGACACGAGAATACAAGGAAAATCTACAACTTGAGACATGGTAATTGAAGGAAAAATCTACAATTTCTGACACGTGAATTGAAGGAAAATTCTACAATTTCTGAGACATAGGAATTTAAAGAAAAGTCGACGATTTGAGACAAGAATTATTTTTTCAAAACGTTTAGGATAGAAATGACATAACATTTAATTTAAACAACATTCACATTCTTTTACAATATTGAGAATATGTACTTGGAATATGAAACAAAAATTCAGATATCGCCTTAAAGAATGTTCCGTTCTCTTTTTCCTACTCGAGAAAATACGATATCTAATTCTAACACAGAAATAGGTGATTGGCGTCCTAAGCAAATTATTTTACGAAAAAGAAATTGAAGTTCAGAACTTTGTGGACAGTTTTCTTACCCCCTCCTTTGGACTTGCTACGGTTAATTCGTAGCAGGTGGAATCTGAATTTTCACAAATATAAATGCGAGAGCGGGAGAATGAACCAGAGATGGTCGCAACAATGAAAGCGTGCATCATTTTTAGTGGGGTGGCGTAATTGAAACGGAAGCTTTCAGCGTGTGCTGGTTTCTCGAAAACCGGCTGTTTTCCTTCTCCTCTCGCTTCTTTTCCGCTGAATTTCGCCGTGTCCCAAGTGTGTTTACCCGAGCTGAACTTCAGATATTCCATTATGGCGGCGCACGCTCCCAGGCAAATGTAAAAATGCGTTCCGCCGCGCGGCTGTTTCGCCTTTTCCCTCCACGAATCGGTCTGGAATCTCGAACTCGCTCTTTGGATCGTTCTCGAGATTTTCCTCCGTTTTCTTTCCTTTTTTTTATATTTTATTTTTTACTTTTGCCAGAACAGCAGTGGAAGTTATTGCTATACAGATTTAGTTTGTGGGGAATTTTTTAGCTACAGTTTGTTAAGGAAATTATGAGAAATCAAGGTAACGATAATTTAGAAAAATTGATTTACGAGAAATAGGATTTTTTTATAATTTTTTATCTGGTTTATTGAGAAAGTTATGAGAAATCAAGGTAGTAATGATAATTTAGAAAAATTGAATTAAGAGAAATAGGATTTTTTTACGTTAATCTCCCTGCTGGTGAAATTTTTCTTAATTTTTCAGCTGGTTTATTCAGGAAATTATTATGGAATAATGAAGGTAATAATAATTTGGAAATTGAATTACGAGAAATAGGATTTTTTGACGTTAATCTCCCAGCTGTTAGAATTTTTCTTAATTTTTCAGCTGGTTTATTCAGGAAATTATTATGGAATAATGAAGGTAATAATAATTTGGAAATTGAATTACGAGAAATAGGATTTTTTGACGTTAATCTCCCAGCTGTTAGAATTTTTCTTAATTTTTCAGCTGGTTTATTCAGGAAATTATTATGGAATAATGAAGGTAATAATAATTTGGAAATTTAATTACGAGAAATAGGACCTTCTTACGTTAATCTCTCAAATGGTGAAAATTTTTGATCTAGTAGGTATTTTTTTCAATTAAGAAAAGCACATGATATTTTAAGTATGATAACGAATCTATTTTATTTTAGTAATTGCTACAATGATTTTTCAAATTTGCATCAATTTGGTTGTGAATTTTTTTGTTAATTTTAATTTTCATTTCGTTTCGACTGCAATATTATTTTTCCAAATTATATTTCGTTGGGAAATATTCAATACACGGATTTTTCACGAATTTTCCGCCTCTTAAAAAAACTATCCCTTGTTGGCGATTTTCAAGTGAGCTCAAAGCGATGGAAAATGCCTCGTTTCGAGGGAAAAATATAGAATGCTTGAAGAGGGAAAAAACGAGAAGGATGAAAAAGTGTCCTTTGAGACGTTTTAACGAGAAATCGATATCTCTTAAGGCACTTTTAGCAGCGAAGTACAATTAATTATTTATCATTCCCATGAAGACGTTTTCCTCCTTAAGTTTCCTTCAAAGGAATTTACAATTTCCCTATTTTTCGAGTAAAAGAAGTCGCCTGCGTAACGTTGTTGCCAATGTAAATCTTGCAATATTAAAGATTTAACAAAATTAGTCCCTTTTTTCTTGAAACAATAAAAGAAACTAACTACTGAGAAATAAATGAAATGAATGAAGTATTCGTCTCTGAAGAAGTAGAATTTCCAATAAATGTGAATGATCAATTCCATTGTAATATTAAATTTTAAATAATGAAATACTTTTTACAAAATATTAATTTTATTGTGAAACATGTTTATGTGTAATTAAATTTAATATTCAATTCTGTAAGAAATTTATAATATAATCAAATAGAATTTTCA